TTTGTCTGTCATAAGTGTCCATGGATATGTGTTTTAAATGCCAAGGTCTACCTTCAAAGTGTCATCTTCTTATCAGCTCTGAAAGATTCCAAGTACTTATCAACAAGCCAATTGGATGTGCACCTCTTTAATACCCATTTCTTGTGGCAGTTGTGCTCACCACAAAAAGTCTTTATCATCATTCCATGAGCCCTCTTATCATCTGAAGCATACAAATTCTAAGGACATCCTTTCTCACATATGGCTCGTAGCCTCTTCTTCTCATTCCTTGGCATCTTAATATCCACCCTGTGCTTCATACTATATTCTGTAATAGCCTTCCTTAGCAACTCTATAGACTCAAAGATCATTCCTACTTTGAACATTGGATTGACCAAGTCTTCATGCTTGAATGACTTGAAATTGAATGTGACATTGTTTTCATCATCAGAGTTTGGAACCATTAACCCTTCATCATCAGTTGAGAAATCCTCATCACCTCTGCCCACCACAACTTCAGCTCTCTTTCCCTTGGGTACCTTCTTACCCTTGGCAACTCCTTGATCAACCACTTGGTCATCAACATTATCCATGAATAGATCATCATCTTCATTAGCCAGATCATAATCACTATCTTCAAAATCCTCATCATATTCACTAGAACTATACTGCACATCATCTTCATAAGTTGCATCCACATCATCAGGAATATTGTTCATGTTCCTGTTCTGCACTCCCACTCTATAGGGGCTCATAACCTTGGGCAGTGAACTTATTGGGTTTGCCACAATGTCATCCCAATCCAAACCAGCTAGAGAGTCATCATGATCAGCATACAGAACAAATGTCCTCACTCTACCTACCAGAGAGGCCATCACCAAGGCATCTGAGTCACTAAAAATCAACCTAATGCCATCTGAAATGTCTTTCCCAAGTAAAAGCCAGTACATCTTCAAATTTGGGTTCTTCGGGTAGTGAAGCATGAACAACAACTCATTAAACCACACTGGATACCAAGTGCTTGCCTCACAATGATCAAAGCAATGAACTTTCCCACCAACATAGGCCCAATTAACTCCTGTTCCAGTAAAAAAACCTCCATGATGCATCTCAACCGTGAACTCACCACTATCAGCTCCTAAAATTGGAAAGATTGCTAATAAATTAGGTCAATTACAAACCCTATACGAATCAAAATCATAAAAGATGGTAAACATTTGCCATTCCGATTCACAACACCATCTAACTACATTCAATGCGAAGACTAAGATTACAACGAAATGAGCTCAAGGGGATTCACTCACCATACACAGGTCGGCCTTGCCCTTTCGGCCGCAACACCGCCACCATCGTGCAGATTCACCGCGACCACCGCGAGAATCCGCACACCACCGGGCTTCGGCGTCACTCCTCCATCGTGTTGGCCTCCTAACTCACCGGCGATTGCCTCCACTACCAGCCGCCCCACACGCTCCCCGCGAGTTCGTGTGACCGTGACGGCGGACTCGAAGAGGTGAAGTACTGGGAAGAGGATATGAAAAGAACTAGGGGGGCTCTCTGCTTATTTGCACGCCCTAAACTAGGCTCACGCGTGGCTCAATGCGCTTGGACACAGTCAGCACCACGCTGTCCACGCCACGTCGGCCAAAACCTTGTTCCGATGAGTTATGGACCTAAGTGGCATACTTAAACAACATTAGGGTGCCAGAAGTATGATTTGAGAGTTTGTGGACCTAAGTGGCATCCCAAGACAAGTTCAAGGACCTACGATGCATTTACCTCGGTTAATAAATAAAGTGAGCCACAAGTCCACATGTCGTGGCATAGACTTTAGCCTAGGCCTGTTGTGAGGTTAAGAAAGATGGAGAGCGAGCCACAAAGTCCACGTGTGATGGCATAGGCTTGTGCATAAGCAAACCAAGTGTAGCTGCAGGTTTTGTAGCTCCAAACAACAACTGGCAATGTGTTGGAGGAGTATCTACAATCTATCGGACCTTCGACTATTGCCATGGGTATACATTTCTCACTCGTGAAAGTGAGAAGAGTAGGAATAAGGGACACACGGATAGCCATAGATCTATGTTTGCGGTTTGTCAATTGTCAAAGTGAGAAGAGTAGGAACAAGAGACACAAATGGGATGGAGAGTGATGGACTAAGAAGGGTGAAAGCGATGGACAAATGAAAAAATTACTGCTTTTAATTTAATATTTATTTATATATATTTATGGTTTAATCGATTGAATTATTGCCTTCTCCTATGACTAAATTTATTAATCCATGGTTGGGGCAACACTTATTTCAGTAGGTGTGATTGGGGGCCTCTTTGGACCTCCTTAAGATAAGGAAAATGAGATCCAAACAGGCAGATTATAAATTGGGATACCTGTGATCCAACCACTGATTATGAGAATCCAAGACCTTGACCCTACTATACGAAGATAATTGGTGTAAAACGCACTCAACCACCTATACTATCTTGCTATAAATAATTTAGGGATCCAAACAACCTAATTTTTTTTAATTAAGAATTTAGATTTTACAATCACTATCTATAATCTAAATTCTCATAATCCTTAGTACTAGGTCCGAACAAACCCTAGAAAGGGAAAGGAAAAAAGAGAGAGGTGGGCTTTGTAAGATACATGTCGGCCTGTTCGCTTGAACTTATCAGCCGGCTTATCAGCTAGAATTTACAGTATTTTTCTCTCACAACAAAACAGCTTCAGCTGGTTTATCAGCCGGCTTTAATACCAGCCGAACAGGAGATAGTACTTCCAAAATGTTTTGGTCTAGTAGGCCCAACCTACGTTGCCCAGATACGGATACGAGTATCGGATACAATACGTATCGGATACACGGATACGCAATTTGCTAAAAACAGTGACACGGGGATACGGCTAGTATATTTATAAAACCAATAATTCATATATAAATAACTCAACAATCATCACATGGGTCCATCTACTCGTGCTAACAAAGATTAGACAAGAAAAAAATAGATCAGAGAACATATATTGTACTGTGTGTCTTGCCTGACAGCCTGAGCCTCGAGCGTCTTGCCTGACAGCCTGAGTGGAGTGCCGAGTGCGGCTGCAAGCATCGAGGCGTCGTCAATACGATGGGGAGGAACCGAGGAAGCGCTGGCCACTACGTCACGCACTTACGCACGACGTTGGGCCTTCACAGGCCGTATCTAATTTGGTCCATACGTGTCCGATACACGTATCTGAGTGAATAGGTATCCAATATTTTCAGTACGGATTGGATACGGATCCGAGCCGTATCCGTGACGTATCCATATCCGATACGTGTCGGATACGAGAACGGACCCCTCTTGAAGTATCCGCGTATCGTAGGGCCCAACTAACTCGCTTGACTCTCCTTGCCAAAGGCCAGCCTTGCCATGCAAGGTAAAACCTTATCTGAACAGTCACCCAAGGCAATCTGTCCTAGGACCCGAACAACTACTCCACTCCAACTTCTACTCTCAGCAGGTGATGCAAGCCTCAACAATGAAATCAAACAACCCCTTTGTTCCTTAGAGACCGATGAACCTTGGGTGTCTAACGGGTCAGGCTTGCAGTTTCTCCTCCTATGCGCGAGGGATAATGGAGGTTCAAGTGAGGTCATGGATCTAATGTTGCAGAGGTGTTGGTGCTTCAGTTAGTTCTGGGCGGTTCTGGTCCAACATAGAAGACCTCTTCAGCATTCCTGTTCAACACTAGCAAACAATTAATGAAAAATGTGTTCGTCTAGAAGGAGGGAGCAAGGGGTTCTCGACCTAGAGGTAGAGAGATTCCTAGTGAAGAGTTCCGAGATTTGGCAGTTTGATCAAACTATTTGTCGTCTTATGAAGTGTTGTATTTTCTCTTACTGATTCTAGTAGGGGTGGATCTCGGCCTGGCCCTGGTCTAGCCCCAAGAACATTGAATACATCCTTGTAAACTTATGCCTTGTACAGTCCAAGATTATGAGGACTAGAAGGCCCAACTCCACCCCGGTAGCCCACCATATGTTAAGTTCAAATTCTAGTACTTATTGTATCTTTTATCTAAACTTTTTTCTTTTGTATTTATTAAGAAATACATTCAAGGTCCTAGTCTATACTATAATGAGTTAATTTGTTTGGTGTAATCATCGGGGGAGGAGTGTCTCTACTTTGATATATTAACCGACGATCCTGGTCCAGTTGATAGTGGAAAGATACGAGTGCCCAGAGCTAGGGTTGCATATTGAATTTGTTACACCACATATAAGCGAGGTGCTTATCTTTCATCCAGAGATTGTAGGATACGTGTGTTTGGTTCGAGGAATCAACTTATCCTAAATGGAGTAATGCATCGTGAGTCCATTTCTCGAATTTAGTGGAATGACTCTATTCTTCGTACTTTTTTTTGGGAACGAACGGCTCCATTCCTCCTACTAGTACTAATTATTAGTATGTGATAAATGAGGTGGTAATAGGATCAAGCCATTCTTTTTTACAAACCAAACAAAAAACTAGAGAGTGAGATAATGATGGACCACATCATTCCACCAACTAAGATGGGATAAACAATCACCTATATCATGGCACTCAAGATGTCGGATATTTTTCTTATCGAAGAGTTACAATGTAGTAGTATTGATTTATAAACACGTAAAGTTTTAAGTTAATAAAATATATAAACTTATCTAAAGTAACAACTTACAAAGCTTATCAAAGCACACCTCCTATATACCTTAATCACCTAAACTATACTTAGGATAAACAATCTCTATGAAGTTACAGCTTCCATCGAAACATAAGATCATCCCTGAAGCACCGACAACATACAAATATGGACATGAACATGATATCCTTGGAGAACTCAGAAGTACCGACAACATATATACAAAGCAAAAGCAAGGATAGAACTGAATTAAGCCTAAGAACTTGTAACGGCTAATAATTAATTAGACACGATACAAACATTCGGATCACACCTTCGTTCCTTTGAACATCAAGCGCAGTTGCTGCCATTACCGTGGCATGATCAAGTCATGCGGTTCTTGGCCATGTTCCGGTGCTTCTCTGCAGTTCCACCAGTCGACCTGACCCTCTTGATCCTCTTGCACCGTTGCCGCCTTCGCTGGAGGTCCTTGAGAATGCGAGACTCCTCCTTAGCCCGAGAGACAGCCCAGACGGCGTCCATGGTTTCTCGACCAGGGACGGAGCCCACCATGGCGCGGAACCCCACGTCCTCCGGAAGCTTCTGGCACAGCATGCGAACCACCGGGGGTGGTCTGCGGCGGCGGCGGCCAGAGCCTCCGCGTGGGCGATCTGCTCCAGGAGCGACGCGTCCTCGTCGTCGTCGAAGTGGAAGTCCAGGAACCTCTGCCACGAGACCGAGGGCGTGGCGACGCCCAGGTCGTAGGTGCGCGCCACGGCCTGCCACACCGCCCTGCCGGTGCCGTGCCGGGCGTAGTCGGGGAGGAGGCGGTCCGAGAGCGCCGCGAGGATGTGGCCGCGGCACACCGCGTCGTCGCGCGCCCACTTCTTGGCCGTTGCCCGAGAGGCGACGTCGCCGGCGGGCAGAGCCGGAGCCGGAGCCGGAGGGTCGTCCGAGAGCACGTGGGCGACGCCGAGGGTGTGGAGGCGCAGGAGCACCGACTCCTTCCACCGTAGGTAGCCGTCGGGGCCATCGAGAGGTTCGATGAGCATCGCCATTGATCAAAAGTGCCTCGGGTGTTGCCGATCGACGGACGGTTGATGTTCTTGGTGCTCCGAAGTCTGAACTACAGTTCTTATTGGAGGCAGGGAAGGTAGGCGGGATTGCTCTGTTCTGAAAAAAAGGAACCGTTTGAAGGCGCGTCTGGCCTCAGTTGTTGTACCACACAAACTGCACAGTAAGGAGCAGAAGGATGTAAATAAAGAAAGCAAAAATAAGCGCCTTCAACTTCCTGAACCATTGGTTGTGGTTCACAGAATCTCATGCGGGCTGTAATGTAAACCGTTAGCTCTCTTGTGTTGAGAAACTGCAAAGTTACTCTCTGATGTGATTTTCTGGTAACATGCTCTCCATAAACCTACCTGGATGATTTTGTGGCAAACTGTTTTTTTTTTCTGAAGATGTGGGGAAAATTTACATCGGATTGTTACTCAGGTGTGGAACATACCGACCGGTTAAAGAGCGATCTGGTCAGTTGGAAAACAAAAACCACAGGAGACAGAGACATACACCCCATACGTATCAAACTAAAACCTGTATATCTTCTTCAAGTGATACTATATGTGACAAGGTTCTGAACACAGTCAATCTCTAATCTCAAATCTAATATATATAATTCCGCAAGCATCCTCTGTGCATAGGAGAGGGATTCAGACTGGTTGGATGAGACAGCAAAGAAAGGCAACGGGCACTTGGGCAGGGAAAGATGTAACATTACTTTGTTACAAATTCACCAAACGCAATGCAATGGTACTCGATCGTCTGATGATTGAGCCCATCTTCTAGCATATCAGTTACAAACAGCAAAAAAGCACAGCTACCAGAAGCAGTACTAATCTGCAGCGTACAAAAGGTTGGCAACACAGAGGACAGTTTCCATGATACAGTTCGTACAACTCCCATCTCCATCTTCCACAGCAGAATGTCATTGCCTCATTGGTAATTCCACCAAGTCACCAAGACTCCGTGAAGATGGCAAGTAGTAACAGAACCTAATCGTTTACCTTAACGGCGACGATGGCGATGCCCAGTCGTCTTCCTATCGAGCTCCTGCTGCTCCATGCAAGTCGCCTCAGCCTGACCCAGGCGTTCCTTTTGGTCGTCCAACTGAATGCGCGTCTCCTCCCTGAGCAGAGCAGATTTCCAGATCCTCCTGCCCATGCTCATCTCGCCACACCTGATCCGTGTGGCCATGTCCCCGGGAGCTTGCCGCAGATCCTGCTAGCCATTGCATAGTCGGAGGGCGGAGGGTCCATTGTGGCGACCAGAGCCTCCGCGTGCGCGAGCTGCTCCAGGAACGAGGCGGCGCCCTCCCTTCTCCTGGAACCGGAAGCGGTGGAGGAACCTCTCGTACTGCCTCGGGTACAGGACAAACGACGCGTCCACGGCCTGCCACACCGCCCTGCCGGTGCCGTGCCGCACGTAGTCCGGGAAGATGCGGTCGGAGAGCTTGTAGAGGATGTGGCCACGGCACACCGCGTCGTCGGAGAGCACGTGGGCGACGCCGACGCTGTGGAGGCGCAGGAGCACCGACTCCTTCCACCGCAGGTAGCCGTCGGCGCCGTCCAGCGGCTTGATGGGGAGAATCGCCATCTACGATCAAAGCACCTGACGGACGAAAAGATCAACACAGCACAAGATTAATCGAAAATGCATTGGACAGCGATGAACAGACGAAAATGCATTGGACACAGTTGATGTTTCGAACCTACTAGGGAGAAAAAGAAGATTTCGCAAATCAGTGGCGGCGAAGGCGAACCTCAGAGTTTGTTCGATCGACAGGTGATGTTCTTCCTCTAGAATGTGGCCGCACCCCGCGCGTTCTTCTCTTTTTGCGAGTGCTGCGTTCTTGGCAGGCAGCAGGGCTGCAGCCTGCAGGGGAGGAAGGAGGATATGCAGGGGTAGCAAGGCAGCAACGGTTAGCTAGCTCTCTGTCCCGACTCCCGATTCCTAACGGTTGGATTTCGAAAAGGAGGTTTCTGAAGGCCCGTCAAGGTGGACTACGGTTGGGCTGGGCGTATATGATATGGGCATCCAGAGGCCCACTACCATGGCTTGTAAGCCCAAAGGCTCCCATGGATTTCACCATTCCTCGCTCAGAACTGCAGAAGCTTTTGAAACGTAACAAAGGCCTTGTTTGAATAAAGTACTTTTAAGTTTTAGAAGAATACAGTGGATTTGTCCAATGTTTTAGTTTTGACAATCCAAGAGATGTTTGATTTGCGACAAATTTTAAAGTTTAGAAAAAGCCCCCGCCGACAGGATAAAACTAAATGTGGATGCAGGTTTTGATCCCAACTCTGGTCATGCCGGGCTGGGTTTCATTGCAAGAAACCATGTGGGCGAGGTTTTATTCTCTGGATGGTCGGCTGAAGAAGCATAATGTCTTGCTGCTTGGGTGGGGCTAAAACATCCCCTCGCCTCCTGGAAAGGGTGTCTCTGGCTAGAATCAGACTGTTTTGCCACGGTATGCTATTTGAAGGACCTGTGCAGAAATCTTTATGTAATATGCCACATTATCGAAGAAGCGAAGGAGGTCCTCAAGCGTTTCTAGGATTTAGAGTTTCCAAATGCCACCGGAGTGCAAACGAGGCTGCTCATGAGTTGTGTCAGTTTGGTAGGAGAGCGCTTTCTGATAGGTTTTAGCTCCAATTTGTAATCACGATGTTTTAATATAATTAAGCTCTCCCCTTTCAAAAAAAAAAGTTACAGTCATTTTGGTAGAAACTAGGTACATTGTAAAACTAATTTTCTAATAGGTTTTGCTATGATACTCCCAAATAACTGTAAATCATTCATTTAACTAGATGATCCCCATTATTTATACTAGGAGATAATAGTGGTGAACTATATATTTTTTGTTTTTACAGTTTTTTAAAATATGATAAATAAGGAAAGTTTTAGGCATAAAAATCTTTTTTCTAGATCTAATTGATGCATGTGTGATGTATAAATGTGGCAGATCTTTTTATTTTGCAACTTTAGACATGACATGATTTGATTAGCATAAACTGCTGATAATTTTTATGCATGTTAATCCACGTGATTTGTTTCCCAAACAAGTTTTTTTTTTGGCATGGCAATCGCACGAACAAGGGACTGTATGCTCACTTTGTCTCGCGTGCTGAGGGAATTGAATAATACTTCTTTGTCTCGCGTCATGGTAATTGCACGAACAAGTATTTCTTTTTTCTTTTCTTATAGGTTAATTAATTAATTAATTCAAAAATTCTAGAAAATCAATGGTCCAGATTTATTTGAGGCATGACCTCCTATAAAAAGTAAAAAGAGTACTAGCATTGCCTCTTCCCTAGTAACCACGTTTACCATGTCTAGGTTTGAAAGTTGTTGTTTCATGATATATACTATGGTTTCCAAAACTACGATATTCGAATAGGTTGCAAGCCTGTTTGGAATTGTAAGCATCGATCCAATCTGTGGTAGAACTTGACTGCTATCACTAATCCTCACTCTTAGTTGTGTCATTGTGTCATCTGCAAGCTAATACGTGGTTCCTTTACAATAATCAGAGTTTGTTTTGTCCTGTCCAAAAGTCAATTCTTATACGATCATGTTCATGGGTGTGTGTGTACATATACCAATCTAGAGATATGTATTAAGCAACCTTATTCTTGTTAATGCCACATGTCACCCCATGAGCATCGCTTGATCACTTTCTGCATGTCATCATCTCTTCCTAACATCATGACAGCGCCGCTCTGAACACAATCTGAGAAACATGCATGTCTACAAGTTGATTTGGTGTGCATCCTTCCTGTAAAATAAGAGGAAATATTGGCTGCTTTAGCTTTACTACACTACAAAAAATTCAGGTTAATTAACATGATCTCCATGAGTTAGTTACTTTTACTGAAGAATGGCTCTTGAAAGTGCATTTCCTCATACTATGCCATTTTGTATATGGATTTTGCTGACCAAAATGATGTACGTACAAGACATGACAAGTGAGGGTATTGTAATTCACATACAGAGGCAGGTGGTGGCTGGCCAGTGGCCACCTCTCTGGGGCAGATACAACTACACTGTTTTGTTTTATGTTGTGTGGGTCCATGCAACGTACTGTAGTAGTTCCTAGGGAAGCTGACACCATTAACACACAGTTATGTATATATATATATGACTTTACTTGGAGACCATCTCTGCTTATCTAAACGAAACTCGTGTTTGCATGGACCGATTTAGTTTTCTAGACAACATAATATAATATAGTAGTAGCACACACGAGTCTTGGCTGAGTCTGACCAAGCATAGGCACATAGAATGCCCATTTCCGACTGCGAAGTTGAATCGTGCCGGCCGAACTGCCGAGTTGTTTTGTCCGGAGCAGTTGGAGCTGCTAAAGTACGTACGTAATATGATCTCTACGTGCAGTGTATTGGCTGAGTCTGACCAAGGAGGCATTTTTATACATATACATATACGGCAAGGCATGTTTCAAGAACGAATTTAAAAAGCCTTGCTGGTTGCGGCGGGTACGGTGTTGGATTGTTTCAGCTTGTTTCAGCTTATTCTCTCTCACATAATACTATTCAATCATCCAAAATCAGCTGAGCTACCATCTACCAGCCGAACACGCTGTGGTGCACCGCCATTTGTCCACAGAAGGAGACTGGAGTCGTCTGATCAGTGTTGGCAGCAAGCTGATCAGAAGTTGCATTTGGAAGGAAACAGAAGTTGGCAAGCTGTTGCGGAATGATTCACATGGAACAATTCCATTCTCGAAGGGAGTGGAAATACTGCTAGCTCATTGGTTGGAGTTGGAGATAGCACACACAGTAGCTGAGTAGCAGAAGCTAAAAGATTAGTAGGGAGTAGTAGGTTTTGGCTGTAGTGTTTATATGTTTCTCTGTTCCATGATCTCCACGTACCAGCCGGAGATTTTCCTCGGTCGCTGATTGCTGGTGCTGGAGCAGCCGGAACTTTGCTGGGCCTGGCCGCCTGGGCAGAGAAAGGCGAGGCTTTTCCGGATCCATGATTCGTCTCCTCCGCCCGCTGCCTTTTGCATCACGCGAACGCACACGCACACACCAGGCCACGCGAGATCCTTCCTTTTCGGTGCTCCTCTCCTCGCATCATCATTGCTCGTCGTCATGCACGGCGAGCTGCTGAGGCCAGGCCAATGCCAGTGATGATTACCAGCACCAGCCACCAAGAGCATCCATCCATCCGAACGATATACATCGATGATCGATCACAGGAGCAGCAGGCAGCAGCTGAGCCGAGATCTCCGTAGAATCCACTTGCGTGATGGGCCAATCACCTTCCACACCGAAGCGTGGCGCGCATGGATCCGGCGGCTCTCTCTCTCTCTTCTCTGCTCCTACTCTTGTCAAGAAAGGAGAATCGCATGCACGCAGACGCACACACTCTCTGACACTCATGGCTGGCATGGCATTGGACCATTGGCATCGTTCAAGCCCTGTGCTCGTGGACTGCTCCACAATCATCCGCACGATGCAAAGTGCCAAAAGCAAACAAAAATCACGGTGATCTCCAACAGCAGGCAGCGTGGCTGCACACGCCGTATGGATACGGACGGCCGCCGGAAACCGCGATCAGCCAGGGATTTGGCGGTGTGTGTGGGGGGTACTTAAGCTACGCATGCCGTCTGAAGATCGACAGCAAGCACACCGATTTCAGCAGAATTACGCAGGTACGGAACCGATTCGGGGAGAATTCCAGCTACACGGGGAGCAGGAGCAACTCCCTCTCTCAATTTCTCTCGCCCAAATACCCAACCCAATGTACAGCAACAGCAGCTACGCACACTCCTAGCCCCATCCCCTGCTTCTATACTATAGACTAGTCCTCCACTCGGTGCATTGCACAGCGGCCTCAGTCGCGTCAGCCCGCCGCCTCGGAGATGCTCTGCAGCGACGGCTGCCAGTGCCGCCCTCTGCCGCCGGCGGCGCTGCTCCGGTGCTGCCGGTCCGACTTCTCCGCCCGCTTCCGTTCCTGGTCGGTGGACCGCCGCCCCTGCCCTTGGCTGCCCGCGGCGGCGTGTCGTCCCGGCGGCACCCGCCGGTCGTCCACCACCGCCACCTCGCCGGCGCCGCACCGCCGCACCCTGTCCTCCCTCCTCGCCTGTATCGCCTTCGCCACCTCTGCGCGCGCACGGCCGGCGGTGAAACGGATCAGAAGAAGGAAACGGAACCGAGAAACAGAGCGTCCAATCCAAGGACCGGTATACGCACCTTGCGAGGTGATGAGCCGGTAGACTTGCCCCAGCAGCAGCGTGTCCTTGGGCTTCAGCAGCTTCACCTTGGTGATCCTGCCGCCGCCGCCCGTGGAGACCTCCGGGTCCGCGTCCTGCTTGCCGCCGCCGGCGCCCGAGACGCGGAGCACGACGAGCGCCACGTAGTGCCCGGGGTTGCCGCGCATGACCTCCGCGGCGGTGGCCGCCCCGTACAGCCGCTCCACCTTGCCGCCGGGGTGCTGGATCACCACGGCCGCCGCCTCCGCCGCCTGGCAGTTGCCCATCGATCGCCGCCGCCGGGCTCCCCGCACGCACAGATGCGTCGTCGCGAGTTGCTGTGACTCCCTCGCTCTTGCCGTTGCCGAGCTGGGGGCGCCGCTTGCGCTGGGGATTTGCCGATTTGGGTTCCTCTGGGGAGCACCGGGTGGGCCGGTGAGGGGGCTTTATATGGCCGCGCGCGGCGCGGAAGGAGACGGGACGGAGCGATTAGCACATTGGGTTAGCGATTGATTAATCCGCGTTTCGACCTAATTCTTGGCATCTTGTGAAGGTGATTAGTGGAAGGGGTCAAGGTGTGTTCGGCCTTTGTTTACGAAGGGTGTGCAAACTGGCGCCCGGACGTGTCGCACTGACGCGCGCTAGGCTAGTAGATAAGACTTGCCGTTTTGTCCTTTCGCCCGGGCCGTGACATGGACCCATGGACGTACCACATGTCGTGCATTCAATGGATGATTTCTGAGACAAGGTATACCACCATGAATTTTGTGGCATCTCATCGTCCTGCTCGGCAGGCCTGAATTGGCTGGCTGCTGCTGGGGCTGGCTCCACCCCAGCCGGCCAATTTCAGCCGTCCGCCATTCCTTGCAGCTGGTTTTTACGCTGATTTTAAAATTTTAAATTCAAATTGAATATTGGCGTCAACAACAGGTCGTTTTCATATAATGGTGTTAAACTATAGTGCACATAAGGTTGTTTACAACACATTTGCAATCCGCAATTCACAGTTAAATAAGTTACAGGTTCAACCAACAATTCATAGTTCATTTGTTCCATCCATACAACACACATACAACTTAGTTAGGTCAAATGACAGGCACAAGTCATATGTTTGCTTGCACAATCTAGCTAGATTCACTACAAAATGCCTCGTCTCCATCAAAAGCAAAATGTCATCTGTTGGCTTCCTGGTGACAGCATCATGTACACCTCCAAGGCCTCCCTCAACCTAAAACAACAAGAAAGTAAGGATATACAGTAGCAATTGAAGCACCAGGGAACCGTGTGACTGATCCTACTCCTGATCCTACCATTGCAATTCTACCGACAGTGACAGGTTCACATGTTTGAGGTGTAATCAACTATACAAAGAAAAGCTTAGTATACTAACAGTTATCTAATTTTAGTTTTGATGTGCTAATGTTTGAGGTGTAATTAACTACCACAATTCGGTACTATAAACAACAGGCAGATATATAGGAAGTAGCTGCATTATCTCAACTTTCCTAAATCAGATACTACTCCACACAACCATATATATCAACTCCCTAACTCCAGAGATTGGGGTTCCCCGATTTAGCTCAACCCACTCCGGCAGCTCATACGAAGGTGGATCAGCTCCGTACTTAAGCATCCACAAGTAATTTTCTAATGCAAAGCATGAAATGATTATCATAGCCTGCTTCTTCCTCTTGCAGTACGGCACCCCTTTTAGAATATGCCAACGTTCTTTCAAGCCCCCAAACCTCCTTTCGATGACATTTCGCAACTTCGCATGAATGTAGTTGAATTTTTCCTCCCGCTGCAACCGATGCAACTCTACGCCCCTAAAATCGTTCATATGGTACCTTGTGTTTCTCAAGGGAGTCATGTAACCTGGCATGTCCATGTAACTCGCGTCCGCCAGGTAGTATCGGCCTACAAGAAATGACAACAGATCACCAATTAGTCCTTTAAGCACTGTCTTCAAGCACTGTCAACACTACCTGGAAATGCCAAAATAAAAAAGGCTAGAATTAGAAACAAACACAATCCTGTAAAATTCTAAAGCTTATCAACAGCTAACATGTATTGCAGAATATTTAGCTGAATCAACATATGAGATTTCAGCGATGCTACTTCATCAAAGCAAAACCAACAGATCACCAATATTTAACTAAATCAACATATGAGATTTCACCAAAAAGGAGTGTTGAAATGTTTGTTGTCAACTGACCAAAATCGAACCAACAAGTCCTAGCTACAGACAGAGTTTGGATAACAAGCCTATGAATCCAAAGTGCATATGTATATCATATATCAATCAATCTTAGCATTTCATCCAATCATCTCAGGCAATACATGATAAGAACAAACAACACGCAATCAAGGTCCTTGTAACCTATGCAAGCATTGTCATACACAAAGTCAAAATTAGTGACAACATGATGGAATTTTTTTTTGCCACGCATCACGAACCTGTTGGGGGATGCGGGAACCAACCGTCGTCCTGACAGTCTTTCAACACCGCCATGCCATGACATGCCCCCACCTTCCCGGCCCCCACGTATGTGAAACAACCATCCATATCCACGATGGCACAAACATTAATTGTTGTTTCGCCTTTCCTATTGAAGAAATCAGCATTTGCTTCACGGTTAACCTCAACCTTTATGTGCGTGCCATCTATAGCACCTATGCATCCATCAAACCATGGTGCATATGCAGCAAGTTTCTGGCTTACGCGTGCATACTGCCTATCTGCGGGCACTAGGACAGTCTTTGCCCACCTATACATGACCTCTGCAACTGCTGTTAACTTTCTGCTAACTGTATCTAAAGACCTTTCAAACCTATGTTTGCACTCTCTACTGGCAGATTAGTGGGCACAGGTCCAGATGTACATGCCTAAAGCTTCTACTGAGGTACACTTATCTGTTGATGGCAGGCCGAAAAGAAGCAGGGTGTCATGCAAATGCATGAAGGCATCACGCGTCATGCGCAAATTGTCTATACATTTGGTTTGGTCAGCAAGGGTAAGCTGCATCCATTGGGCTCTAGATAGTTTAGGAATGGGACAAGGAGGATTTACCTCAGGCATTTGCTGCGACATAATGTCTTTCAACCTCCGCAACACGACTGCTGCCTTCGCCAAGATCACAGTGCTCGGTCCATCACTGGAAGTGTCTCTATACGACGACTCGTCAGTGCTACTCATTGTGCTACCTGCAAATGGGCACAAATCAGTAAGATGCTAATGCATATATTGGGAACAAAACATTTGTTAATAAGTGAACATGTCAAGTTACCTGAACTAGGTAGTTGGCACGACCACCTTAGACAAATGTATGTAAGGAATGAACAACAGAAAAGTGATCCATGCATAAGGTGTTACAACGCTCATAGCACGACCCATATATTTTATTCAAAACACGAGACAATGACAGACACTTAGTTCTCCGCAACGGTCTTTGTTAAAACAAACAAAACGAACATAATGAAACAACGAACAGAATCAACTCAACATGCACATGGTGGAAAACAGAAACAGTAGAAAAAACCATAGTACGAACAATAGTGCTGATCAATGGGACTTTGTGGAGCACACGAAGTACCACGACACATTGACCCAGTTAAGCCGACCCTCTTTAGTTTCCAAATTAAGAAAAGCCTGACGACGGAGCCTGTTGTTGCAAAGGTTAAGGGTTTGCGCGAATACTACATCAGTCGCGCTGTAACCATCTTTCTTCAGAATCTGATGGACTTGGGCCAACTCCTCAGCATTTGTGGACTGACGGGCCTTCTGGGACCTAGCCTCCCTGATAATGTGGCTTAGGTCTTCAAGGCAGTCGTCAATGGATGGAGTCTTGCTACTCTTCTTACTGGGAGGACTGTTAATAGAATGTTCCCTATGGACTCTCTTCGAGGGTTGAGCACCCCTACGCGGTAGGACCAGTTCGTCCGACAAGGCTGGAGGAGTGCGAGGGCTTCCACTACCGGGTGTCTTGTCAGGTTGATGGCCCCCCGCTGATACCAACTCGCCCCTATCACGTGGGGTGCATCCCAAAATCATGATCAGTTGCTCACAGCATTGGGGGCGTCTGAACTTGTCACGAGCGGGTTGGCTACTTTCCTGCACGTGTTCCAGTGATGACGAAGTTAGTACTGAGTTAGTGGGAACCTAATTGCTAAAAAATAGTTAAGGAAATACGTGTAGTTAGTACCCTGGGGCTGGTGCTGTACCACTCGGGGTCAGCTGTAACCTCTCTAGTAAGCGGGTCACGGCCTAGCCTAGTATGGGTCTGACTGTCGCGCCAATTGAAATACAAACGTTTCAGCTCGTTGTACTTGTTCTGGAACTTTTTCTTGTTGTACCCGAGACTCGTGACTTCGTTGAAGCCACGAATGACATTGGTCCACCCTAGTGAGGTTGGTGAAGTGGCATTCTAGTGACAGAGGACTTTTTGCTTGTTGATTAGGTCAAGAAGCATAGAGCAGGTTCTGTCATCCCAGCTAGCACGTTCCTGGCTCATCTGATGCAAGGATCGACATTCGAAGGGATTATATACATGGATGCATATCTTATGTCATACGGAGGGCAGTTCCAATACGCAAAGATGTGAGTGGGCGACGAAAAAGAGAACTTGCCTTTTCGAACCGTTTGCGGCGTTTTGAGCGGAGGTTGTAATGCCTGCCAGCAGGTGGAGAGCAAGACGAAGTCGACGCTGCCAGTTTGGGCAGCGTTGGTCACCAGCGGATGAAACGTCCCTAAAATCTCTGCAATGTAAACATAGAGCATACTTGTAAGATGTTCAATTAAGCAGTGTTGACACATCTTATAAAGTTATAGTAGCCTATAGAATGGGTGCAGTTGAAGGATACAAGCTAAATGGGTTATACTGACAAAACTATAATGCATGCATATGGCCGAGAAACCAATACCCCCTGCTATTAGTGCAAGAAGGGTCACCAGGAATAACTATGATAACAGATAACTTCTCATATTGCATACTGTGAACATGCATTTGTAGGCATACAAACATGTGAGATCACCAGGATTGCATGCATGTATTCATGTGAAACCTCTAGTACCAACAAATTGACAAGTAATGGACAAACCCCTAGTACCAACAAATCAACAACTCTTAGTGGCTAAAAACTCTCCATTCCAGGAACACTACAAACACACTGGTACTCAAGTAAAAACAACTTGGAATCTGAAGTAATAGATGAAGCATTTGAAGCCAAAACATAACACTGGAACCTGTAACCTATCATAAAGAATTGAACATCAAACTAGAAATGGCTA